GATGGAAACCACGTTAGTTATGACCTGGGTGCTGGTGGCTCTGGTTTGCGGTTTGGTTTGCCAGCTCGCACTGTGGTATCTGAGCTGTTCAAGCCATTTGAGGACAGCTGAAAGGGGTGCTCCGGTAAGCACTGCTCCCGGGCAAGGGGCTTGTTCCGCAGCTGTGGCACTGTGCAGAGCTGGTGTGCTGCACGCAGGACAATGGCTCAGGCTGCCGAGGGTTTCCCCAGCACGCACACTCGCCCTCGCTGCCTTCTCAGCTGGGCTGTGCTCTGCAAGGCGGTTGTCACAGGGAATGGCTACGTGGGGATGCGGGTTCTTCTGTGGGCTTCGGTAGGAGGGGGAACAGATCTGCAAAGGCCACAGGGTCACACTTTTCCCTCTGGTTTCTCTAGATGTTTTGTATGTGAAACCACTAAGGGTCTGGTTTTACCTTAGTGTAACTCTTCTGATAAAAACATGTGACTTTTTTTCCTTGTGCTGTCTGTTAGAGAAAAAGAGGCCTGTCTGGCCTTGAGGTAATGCTTTTCCCTTCTCAATTCCATTTTGTTTCTAAGGTTCTCACCAAAACACTTTTTTTTTTTTTGGACAAAAAAGGAGAGGTTAGACAAAGCTCAAACAGGGGCGCAGCATTCCCTTGCTGTGTGGGGGCAGCCCAGGTAGTGGGATCTTGGGCTGCAGGATCACTGCTTGTGGCAGGATCACTGGCAGCAGGATCACTGCTGACAGTGGATGCTCTGCACTATATTTATTTGACTGTGTAAGAGACAACATTGCTCTGTTAAAGTAAAACCTCGTATCTAGCTCCCCTCCTCCTTTCTCTCTGTCCTTCCTACAATAGCAAACCGGAGTGAGTGGTGTAACTCACTCTTGGCAGTGAACCTCTCAATAAGAGGTTTATGGAAAACCTGCTTATGGTTTATTTGCATTTCTGGGCCTTACTGAAAATGAAGTCAAATGCCAGCTTCAAAGGGAGTTGCTCGGTGTTCATCAGGACTCGACACCACCTCCCTGCCTGCCTTGTCTCCTCCAGCTGCCTCTTGGGACCGCAGCAGTTGCTGCAGTTGTGCAGACAAGAGAGGCTCCTTCCCATACATGTGCACAGCACAGGGGTTTCTCCTGCTTGTGACGTGCAATGTAAAGCAGACCTGGCTGTGTATTGCCCTCCTGTGCTTTACAACATGGTGTGCAGCCTGTGCTTCCCTGGAGCGCAGCTCTCCTCCCCACGTGCTCTGGAGAGAACAAGTCAGGAACAGAAGCCCGTATTTTTCGTTGGAGACACATGGCTCTAAAGCTCAGCAGTAGTTGGGACCATCTGTGCTCCTCAGTTCCTCCTGTGAACCAAAAATCCCAGGCTGAGAAACATGAGAAACTGCCTTGGAGCAGGAGTGAGTCAGAAGAGGCTGTGGACTGGGGCAGAGCCAGAACTCCTGCTTGGGTAAAACCTGAGTGTTTGAATAACTGGGAGCAAGACTGTGATGGAGAAGCTAGCTTGCTTCACCCTGCTGCCTCCAAATGGTGAGTCAGCACTGTGCTCTGGAGTTGATGCTGTGCCTCGGGACGGCAGAGCACACGTGTTGCCTTGAATCTCTTTGATTTTTGCAGTTTATTCACAGAGCAAATCTCCCCATTATCTTTCCTCAGCTCTGGTGACTGGCTGCTACAGCTGTGCCATCCTCATCCTCACCCTCCTACTGACTTTGGGAAGCAGATGAGGACTGCCTCGCTGCAGGGAGGGCTGCACTGTGCTGTGCCCTTTGGGCTGTGGCACCTCCAGGCAGGGGCTAAGGAACTGCTGCCAACTGACCCCCTCAACCCCATCAGGTCTGGGAGCCTTTCAGGAGGAGGATGTGACCCCACAAAATCCCCTGCCTGCAGATGTTTCTCCCAGGTGATCATTCAAGCTACTGCTCTTCCTGGTCGCATGCGTTTGCAAACTTTATTGAATCCCTGCTAAGGCACTTAGCTCAAAAGAAAAAATCCAAACCATTGGGAAATGCTCCATTAATGCACTGGAGATAGGATCAGGCTGGAAAACTCTGGGCTGAACTGCAACAGCACAGCCTGTGATGTAAATCCCATGTGTTTGGCAGGCCAGGAGCTCAGAACCCCAGGCTCTAATCCCAGTGCTGAGCTCCCCAGCTTGGTTAATAAAATACAGGAAGGGGGGTGGGATAGGCTTTGTTTGAATTTCCCCGTGTTTTCCTGGGCAAGCTCCTTTTACCATATGTATGAACAATTTAAGAGTGGCGAGGTTACTTAGGGCTTCCACGTGAAACGTCTCCTCGAACCTGTGGCAAACCCGGCCTTTCTGGGTCTCCCCGCTTGGCAGCAGCTGTGGTGCAACATCCCAACGCTGCCTGCACGGCCGAGAGCAACACTGAGCGATGGGCCAGCAACAGGGAAAGCTGTCACAAAGCACTGCAATGCATGGGAGGGCAGCGTGCATGCCTGAAGCCTCTGGAAGTGCAAGTGCTGATGTGCATTTCAGCTCCAAAACTCTACATTTCAAAATAGCTGTGTGTGTATGTGGAGCAAATCGCCCTTATTCTCAATTATTCTCAAGTGTTGCAGCTTTTCCATCCTTGACTCTGCTCCATGCCCACTTCCCGTAAGGAATGGGGATGTAAAAGGTGTGTGCTTGTTTCCCGAAAGGCCATTGACTACAACGTGCTCAGTACAAAGCGGCTGGGTTGGTTTTGGTGGAGTTTGTTTGGGTTGTGTGAGGTTTTTTTCCTGCTATGATTAAGAAAAGCTCTTGCTCAACAAGAAAGCATTTGTTTGTTAGAGGCAAGCCTGCCCTTCATTAGTGGATAAAAAAAGTTCATAGCTCTTTCAGGTCTGATAATAGCAAGACCTTTGGACACAAGAGATAAAGAAAAGCTGATCACTAAGCAATCTAAGGAGGAGGTTAAAAACTGAAGTATATTTCTGGAGCCAGTTACTAGGAAGAAACTGGGAGTTTTGCCTCAGGAGCAGGGAACTGGAACACCCACTGTGGACACAGATTCAGCAGCTGGGCTATTTTTGGCTTGTGAACTGTTCTAACGGCTGTTTATTTTTAAGGTCATTTTCTGTTTGCATAGCAAGTACACCCTTCTGGTGGGTGGGAGGCTTTATAAAAACAATCACTGCTGCACAGAGTTATGAACTAAGCTTGGAAAGGGATGGAAAAAACAGAACTTGGTGTACTTACTGCTTTAAAACGCAAAACTATCTGCTTAGGTCATAAGGTTTGTTGACCCACTCTAAGCTGTGCCCCCACCAGAAAAATAGTGTTTCAATTATTACAGACTACTGCAGGGGATTGCAAAAGACTTGGGAAAACTCGGTCAGGTGATAATATGGCATAAATAGAAAAGCAGCATCAGATTTGGCAATGTGTTTTGACTCGTGCTTACCTTCAAGCAGTAAATAGAAACCCAGAGCATTCCCCCCCAGGGCTGAGGAGTCAGAACTCATGTTGGCTGGGGGGGGTGGATCCCAGCTCTTGTTTAAGACTCTTGTTAAATAACAACACGCTTTGTTGCCATATTTTCCTGGCTTCTTCCTGTTGGCTATGTCTTTATTCACACGCAGTCAAGTGACACAAATTCATTGGAACAGCGGCAGTTTACAAAAGACTGTAAGAATGATTACTTTGAACTGAAATTTAAAAAACCCTAAGTCTGGCAGGCAATGCACTGTTTGGAATGGGTCATGGTAAGGAAACAGTTTATAACATTGGCAGTGTACTCCCAGCCATGTTCCTTTTCCAGAGCATAAAATACACAATACAAAAATATACTAAAAGTAATAACGGAGTTTGTAGAAATGTCTGCTGCAAAACAATTGCTGTTGTCTGATTCTCAGTATATTTACTCCCACATTACATGAAGATTGAATACTTGAATAAACATGGTTTATTTCTAACTTCATTTGAACTTTAAAGTTGATCTCAAGTTAACTGTCAAGTCTTGGGCTCCAATCCTGAAAGTACATAAAGGACCTTAACTCTGGATTTGTGTGACTGACAAGAGGTGAGCCCACAAGTGAGTGTTCAACGCCTTGGGCTTCTGCTCAGGAAGGAAGTGGAAGCTGAAGTGTTGTACTTCATAGGATCTTTATTTGGGGCATTTTCCTGGATTTTTCAAGACTTTTAACAAGTCCTCCCTGGGCTATCCTTTACCTGATAGGTTTGAGTTCATCAAGTTGCTGGTAATCTGGTGAAAGTGCCTGTTTTTGAGATCTTGGGCTCTGCACTCAGTTGGATCAACTGCAGTAAGTCTCTCCCTCTTTAGCTCACTCCTCTGCATAATTTTACCTGCCCCTTTCCCCTCTCCTTCCTCCCTCCTTGCCCAGTACCACCAAAATGGCCTCTTTCCATGCAGGAGAGCCGAGTACTCCAGTGCTTTGCTAAGGCTGCTCACACCATATGAGCTCCCTGCATTCGGACCACCGTTTCCTTAGTGTTTCCAAAGTTGAGAGATCCAAGTGTAGAAATGGAAGCTCGCGCTGACCTGACCATGCAGGGATGAGCTGCCGTCCCCTCCGGCTCAGGGAGTCTGATGTAGAAGCAAAACTCATGGAAAACACCATCTGGAGTGCACTCGCCGTGACAGACGAACACACCGCTAGCAGGCAAGCGCCTTTCAGTCCAGGATTTCTTGGTCATTTTTCCCCCAGGAGCCGATCTCAAAGCACTTAAGGAAAGAAATTAGTATTGCTCTGTTTTTGCAGATGGAAAGACTAAGGCACTGATGGGTGAGCTCATCTGGCCAAAGCTGATCCGCAGGTCTCTGCTGTCCATGCTATTCACTGAACTGTTGCTGTCTGTGCTTATGTTGTACAAGACTCATCCTCAGAAGGGTAACCCCAGCTCTGCTCCCCATGCACACACCACACAGGGGCCAAGATCTGCCTTCCTAGGCACAGCCTCCAGAGAAAATACCGAGAAGGACATGCATTGGAGGCCAGAAGTTGGCTTCCCAATGTCTAAATGCCAGTGACTCCCGAGGAGGTCAGCTATGGAAAGATGACCAGGATACTTGTGAGGTATAAAATTCTGTGTCTGCTGGCCACTGGTCAACTTTGTCATCGTCAGACTTGTCGCTGTCATCGCCGCTGGAGGGTTCGTAGCCTGGGACAACAGAACGGATCGGCTCCGACTGCCTGTGACCTGCCTCCGCCTCCTTCTTTTCTGCCAGCAGCTGCCTGTAGCACAGATTGCAGACCCTCAGGGGCTTGGGGGACAGCCGAGGCATCAGGAATCTCTGCCTGGAGCAGTCTGCGCAGACAACAAAGCCGCACTTGCGGCAGTGGTGCCTGCGGGTGAGCGTGGAGAACTTGGTCTGCGTGCAGCGCATGCAGATGTCCGTCGCCTTGTCGGGGATCCAGGGGGCTGCATGCTCCGTGGAGGGCTGCCGGCCCGTCTTCGTCAGCAGGTGCCGGATGCACTCCTCCAGATGGCTGATCCACTCCTTCCTCTCCGTCAGGGAGGCCGCGGAAACCACAAAGGACTTCTTGGAGGTTTTAATCATCCAGCGGTTCTTCATCTGCAAGGTGTCTGGCAGCGTCTCCAAAGTGACATCTTCAAGAGGAATGATGTGCTGGGAATTGTACTTCCTTTTGTTGATGACTATGCTGCCGTAGACAAGGATGTCGTTGAAAAGAAAGAATATGCGAGGCTTTGGTTTCTTGCGGCATTCTTTGGTTAAAATCCCTTCTCCCAAAAGGACCCTTCCTGGCACGGCTAAGGGCTGTCCAGAAGCCCCAAAACAGTTTTCCACAGCAGCAATGCGCTGGCTGTTGATCTCAGTGTTTGCAAGGTGGTCCACCATCTCCAGCTTGCTCTGAAGAGAGGAAAATAAAGAGGGAAGTGGTGAAGCTGCAAACATCTCTGTACTGAGGTGCAAAGGTGAGACACTCCTGATGTAACCTGAGGTTGAGTGATCGCTCCTCACTTTAGTTTGTTACCTTTTAAAATTAGTTTTTCAAACTGTCTGACCCCACTTTGCAACAGCCTGGTCTATACTGGGACAGTTTGTCTGCAGCAGTGGAAGCCCTTGAACACAGAGCCAGCTCTTCCATTAAAGCAGTGCTTTTTACCAGTATTACCGCGTGCTCACAGTAAAGGAAGCTGGTTGGTCTGAACCCGCTCTTATGCAAGTGTAAGTACTTGCTCAGGAGCTTCTGTACTGTGACAGCTCAAGGGTACCAGAACCCCCCTTTCTATCTCTCGTGGTGCTGGCAGCAGGGGTGCAGCCACAGCAGGGAGCTAACTGGTGCTGGGCTGGATGCAGGCTCAGGGAGGAGATCCATGGTCTTGGGAACAAACCTCCCATTTCTGACTGCACACCTGTTTTCCCAAGGATTAGTTACAGACACACGCACGCCACAATGCCATTTTGCGCCAGACCTGAGACAAGAACAGAACAGAGTGTGGTATGGCTTGCTGGTCCTCCCTGCGTGACAGAAAGGGAAAAAAAAAGAAAAGAAAAAAGCACTGCTCTGTGAATAAACCCACACAGGCCAAGCTCCGTAACCGCAGCTTTGTCAGGACTGCTGGTGCTTCCAGTTACGAGATGCATCATTCTGAAAATAGTCTGATCTCTGCTAAAGGGGAAGTGGAAGGCAGCAAGTTCATCTGTCCCCACACCTCCACGCACTCCTTCTCATACAAGCTGGGGTTTCAATAGTCTGCTGGAGGTTTTTATTTTAATAGAAAAACCTAGAGAAGGGTAACTTTGAAATGAAAGGAGATGTTTGCTATTGGTAGTTTGCAGTAAGGAAAATGCTCCATGCTGTAAGTTCAATTTTCCTTGCACCTAACCCCTCCTGTGCTGAAGGGTGCTGCCCAAGGCTGGCCAGCCATGGGAATGTGAGTCATTTCCTCTTCCAGCGAGGTATCTCAGCGATCACAAGGCGGCTCCGAGATCACAGGGATGTGTGTTGGATGTGTGTAGCCCTGGGTGCTGTTAGCACTAATGCAGAGCCGCTCTCCACCATTTTCCTTGTCCTTGTCCAGAGTCCCTGCAGCATGGGCGCTGAAGGGGAAAGGGAAGAGGAGGAGGATAACACGCCTGGTCCTGTGTGTTTGGGACAACGATGATTTACATTCTTCCCTTGCCCTTCACCCCAAATCACCCCTTTGGTATGCTAGAAGGGAAACCACAGAGCCCCTGCTCAAGGCTGCTGCATGCCGTTTACCGCTCACCTGAGCTATCTGACAAAAACTGGCCAGTTCCTCTGAGTTCACAAAATTTTCTGCTCTAGATGGGCCATGGTGTCCTGCACAAAGCTGAAGCAGTGGTTTAGCCCTAGGAGACCACAAAGAAGTGATCTACCCTGCAGAAATAGCTTTCACCATGAGGCGTTGTGTGGCCAGTGCTCAAGAGCTGACTTCTCTGGGGTCTCCCTCAAACTACAGGGAGGATCCCAAGGCCTCTAACTTGCTTCCAGAAGGATGTGTATCTCCAGGGCTCAAAGCACCAGGACAGATTTGATGGAGCTGGACAGCATTACACACATCCACTCCTGTGTGTGTTCTCCAGCGTGGAGGGCAATTTACAATGAACTGCAACCAGGGGCAGTGCTGTGGCCAGGTGGCGCACAGACCCAGAGAAGCTGTGTGAAGGGAGTTGTTACTCGCTGTCAGGAGAGGAGAAAGGCTCCATTCCCCTTCCAGATCTGCCAGCCTGTGTGGAGCTGTGCATCCATGGAGCTGCTCTGCTGTAAGGCATACATTCAAATCTATTCTGAATTACAACAATGCAGCATGTGTTTTTTCTCCCTCTTAAATACTCAAATCAGTCCGAAGAACAAACAAGCAGGGCAAGCTACAGTCTACAGCTGAACACTAAACTTCCTAGCTTTGAATACCTAGAGTTATACCTATCCTGGGATGTGGTGTCTTGGCGTTTCTTACAAACAGATCCTTAGATGAGGAGTTTTTGAGTGAAAGAGCACGATGAACACACAGAATAATAAAAGAAAAAGGAAAAACTGAAATTACAGCTTGGGAAGTTTGGTGTGGAGAGACCATGAATGCAACAAAATACTGTCAGGAATTTCTGGCACCCGCAACACCAAGCAGGATAAATCAGAGCAGTTAATCCTGCTCTCACCAGTCTTGCTTCCTCGTGTTTCTCGGTTAAGGAGTCCCAGCTCTTAGCCTCCATCTCTTACTTTTATTTTATGCATTTAAGAAGCATGGTCCAATCTCCCCAGTAAGAGTGGTACCTGAGACAGCTCTCATATACCAGATCCCAGTGGAAATGAAAACATTTTGTCAGATATAAAGACCGTGCCTGCAAAGAACATGGAAACATAAGCTCATTTTCAAAAAGGAGTGCAAGCCCTGCTGCTGTGAAAGCTTTAGCTCTTGTACTGATTTGGGCCCCTACATGGGCCAGAATGCTCTTGGACTTGCTGCATGGAGCAAAGGGAGAAGAGGCTGGACAGGGGCTGGACACAGTCCTGCAACAGGTAAGAAATAGAAGTGAGCTCTCGCCACACATCACGCTTCCACCTGCAAGGTACGTCCTTACTCCTCCAGCCTCTGGTTTGTTGCCTACTTAAAATGCCATGAGTTAACCAAAGAAAAAACAACTCAGTTCTGGGAAGATCTTCCCTCCTAGGACTAAAAGCATCAGCTGCTGCTTTAGCCCTGGGTACTTCCCAAAGGAGTTTTCCTGGGGAAACAAAAGCAGAGCGCTTTTTTTCCACCTCTCTCCCCTCAGGCATACATGACTTGAGAACAGCACAGACACGTACTAAGCAGTAAAAAACACAGGAGGGGAGGGATTCACATCACCTCACTTTAGACTTGGACAACTAACTCTATCCCTCTATGCGCTCCCTCTTCAGTGAGGGGGGGAACAGCCATCTGCAGAGGTGACTCGCCTCATCTCACCACACACGAGACCAGTCCTGCCCCGAGTGCTGCATAGAGCTCAGCTTGAGTAACTGCATACAAACCAATTTCATGTTAATACTGTGACTCACTGCAAATAATCCTTAGTTTGGCTTTGGAATGGAAGTACTACGTGAATTTGGGAAATAAAGACAGCTGCTGCGTGTTACTACGCTCTCCTTTACTGAGAGCCTCTCCCTTTGAACAGTGGTGAGATATAAACATGAGAATAGAAATTCTAATCTGTTTGATTAATTTTAGTAAATATTTATTCCCGTTTGTTCAAGCTTGTCTTGTCAGGTCAGCAGGGTCACAGTGCTTATTACCAAGTGATACGTATGCACGTGCAGCAGAAGCTCACACAGTTGAAATGAGAGTGGGAAGATGAACTTTACTGCCATGCTACTTTTCACAGGAGTTTTTGGCATGGCAAAGTTTCAGGCTGTTGTTTTCATCAAGACCTGTTGGTTCTGCATGGGATCAAATATTATGCAGTGAATATGTACCTTAGTGAATACGACTGACATTCAAAAGGAAAAAAAAAAAGCTATTTGGCACCCCACTCCTGAAGTTTGCAAGCCACATCTTCTAACAATGAGCGCTTGTTTGCTTGTGAATATAAACAGCCATGTTGATGCATGCCAGGCAGAGTGTTTCAACTTGTGCTCCTGGGTCAGCGAGTCCGAGGTATGTTTTTCAAGCCTGTATGTATCTAAGGCTTTGGCGTAGCAATGTGGTGAGCTGTTCAACCCGATTCTTCAGTTCTTGCTATCAACTGAATTGACAGTCTTGGTATTTGTTGTGTTTTAACCCAGCAGGCAGCTAAATGCCACACAAGCAGGGAAGTAAACCTCACAAACAGAATCACAGAGGGCCATCCCCAGCAAACCCCACAGTTTATGGTGAATGTGATATTTATGGTATGGAAGAGTTCTGTTGGCCAGCTCGGGTCAGCTGCCCTGGTTTTTGCTCCTCCTAGCTTCTGCACCTGGCTAGCTCAAAATTGCTAAAGACTTTGATCACTGTGGCAACCCACATACCAGCGCTGGCCAAAAACTAAAACAAAGTGTCTTACAACTTTATTACCACTAAATCAAGTGCTGTAGACTTCTCAAAAATGCAGCTTTCCTGAATAGAAAATTGATTCTATGATTCTATCTCAGCAAAACCAGGACAGTATCCACTACATGCATGCCACATGAAAGGGATGGTCCATGAGTATCGGCATGCTAAAAGCAGATCTGACTGTTAGGACCTGCCAGCAGAAAATGCCCTGAGCCTCATCTCTCTGCAGCTCTCTTTTACTCCCTATTTCTGCTTTGCTCAGCTAAGAAGTCTCTCCTGGAGTCAGGGCTGGCATAAGCTCTTCCTTGCCAAGCACGGTAAGCAAGATGGAGCCACCTTTTATCCAGAGCAGACTTTTGGAGCAAGAACATAGTTCCTCTCATTTTCCTGCCCGAGGGGATTTCAGTTTGCCTCTCCCTCCTTCCCAGCATGCTACTGGGTGACTGGGGGCAAGGAGGGCAAGCTCTGGCAACCCCCTTCCAGCTATGCTCATGAGGAACCTGATTCAGCATGTGTGTTTTGGGAACAACAGTCACATTAGGCCTTTGATTGAGAAATGCCACCAGTCCTAGCCTAGTCCATATCCCTATGAGCTGCGTGCTGATTCTGCTTGGCATGCCCAGGACTTTTGGCATGTAGGGTCAGAGCAAGGGGACAGCCGAGCGGTGGCTTTTGAGGAGCTCAGACTGATGCTACCAAAACCAGCAGTTGGTGGCCCAAGCTCAGTTGTGGCTCTTGCACATGCCACCCAGGCTGAGAGGCATCCAAGCAGCTTTGTACGGAAGGAAGGAAAACCTGAAACTCAAGGAAGAGCCTCACGTGCTCTCTCTTCCCTGCTCTCTGTCCACACATGCATCCTCA